CTATAGATAAGGGCTAAATGTAGCCCTTAATGATTTCTTACACAGGCAATATCTCATAAAGTTGAGCTAGGTTGTTTTTTTTTTTTAATTATTTGTTTGTTTTTAACAGTTTGTTTCCTTAGTTTCTTATTTATATTGTTGTTGTTGTTGTTTTTTCTATGGCACAACAAAGTTGACATGAATAACAGCCTTAGAACTTCCTCTCATTTTCATGCATGACTGGAACAGTATGTGTAATTGAAGCTAGAAGCATAGGGTCTCTGAGTAAACTATAGGTAGGTGTAGGCTATTGAGATGCCTGAAGTTCTCTTCAGAACTATGTTGTAAATAGAAGAAGCCTATGCTTCTATTTAAAAAAAAAAAAAAAAAAATGCATATATGCTTAAAGTTATTAATGCTTCTATTTATGTATGCGTGATTTCAGAGATCTGAAATATGCATTATCTTGTATCAGAATGTCAAAAAGCTTGCTTAAAAAGCCACTTCTACCTCTCATGAATTGCTTGTTCCAAGAGTACTTAGGTGGAAATGACTCAAAGTCAATTGCCCTCGCTCATAGAGGGCTTACCAAATAGTGTATCTCAGCTCTTCATGTAATAGCTTTTACTAATTTTGTCCAAGAGATTACAGATTGCCTTTTGAAGAAAAAAGTAACTAGGCAAGTTCAATGGATATCTGTGTGTTCATGTGTACATGTGTGTAAAATCCAGCTATTTTAATAAATAATCACATAATAATTTTAAGATAAATCTGGGATGAAACTGAAGTGATAGAATCACTCCAGTTCAAGCTAATCACAGAATTTGACAAGAATTTCATTTCTGTTACCTTTTCCTGATGAAGGAAAAACATCTGTGATTGATAGATTCCATTTACACAAGGATTTATCGAAAATAGCAAATGGTACTTTCACTCTAATTTAATAGTTTTTGTTTATTTTGCCTTCTTAAACTGTAAAAGCTGAAAAATTGAGCATGAAAACAAATGCTTCATAATTTCCTGAGTTTTTAACTACAGTCTGATTGACTAGAGTACAGCCTGACTGGCTAAAGTTTTGAGGTCTCTAGTCTCTGGTCCAGTTAAACTTTTAACTAAGAATTTCCATTTCTTGTTTTGTGTTGGCAACTCAGCGCTTTAAAGTGCTTAGCAGCTTGATCCACTTCTTAGCTTTACAGGTTCAAATGTAAAAAAATAACTGTGATGGACCATCTAGAGCATCTCCCATTCATAAAGGTGACTGTGCAAAAAAAAATGGTCCTTCAGATTCCGCCATTTATCTGTCAAAGAAACAATAGCTAGTGGATTGTAAAATATGGATCCGTTATCATATCACATTAATTGCTTCTGTCATACCTCTACGGTCATGCAGGACTCAAAGTTTAGATGTAACTCTGTAGTATAGTGAGATAGGTGTTTATCACTTTTCTTACTTTGTATTCTATTGTTTTTTTTATTTGTACTTAAACTATGCACTGAGTTTTCAAGGAAATAACCTTCTGATACTCAGAGTACACTCCTTCATATCTATGTACACTCTTCTGCACAAGCTGCCTACTCAGCTTGGGAAAAACCCAGCTTTTGCCTCTTCTCAGATGAAGCATCTGCTGAGTAAGCAATTTGACAATAAATGCAGTCATTTAATGAATACTTTAGGAAATAAAGGCTTTTTCTCCAAATATTTGTAAAAATAGAATTGTCTTGTGGCAAAGGAAGTAACAATTCAGCAGTACATCCCCTTCCCCTATCAAATCTAGTTTAAAGCTAATAAACTCAGCAAGCTAATAATTAATATTTTATATAATCTAGTAAAATATATATTTTTATAAAATTTTATTTATTTTACATAAGCTAATAATCTCTATCAATATCTATCTGGTTATTATACCTACAGCCATTGAAGATATTTCTGAGTACTTTTACAAGCTGCCATTATGTCACTGCATATATTCTATCATTTGCCTGTCTTTATTTCAGTTTATGACAGTAGGTAATAACAGCAGTGGTGAATGCAAATGGAACTGTAGAATATAGTAAGCAGGGAATAATCATATGCAGTGTCTGGATGGAAATGACTGTATGTATGTGTTCCTTCTCCACAAATACATTCATACCTTAATGCAAAGTTTTTCTTGTTGATTAAGTTCTTTACTGTTTTCACTTGCCCAGAATTTTTTGTTCTTTGTTATGCACAAACAAATTATCTTCAGAAATGCTTCAGTTAGAAAAGTATGAAAAAAGAAATACTGTTGGCACCCGCTTGTAGCTTGAAAATCTGATAAATCCTGCATTGTTTTTTTCACTCTTCACTTACAGTTTTCTTTTTGTTTGTTTTTTGTTTGTTTTTGTTTCAGTGTTTATGGAGTCTGGTTTTGGTAAACTGAACATCTTCAGTATTCCCAGAACCCCCTGGTTCCAACTAGTTGATCACTAGTAGGCTAAAAATTTGTTTCATACTTTTAATTTGGCACAAGAAATACAATAAGAATTTTTTTTTTCTTTTCCCCCAGGTATGCCTTTCTGGGTGACTATTTAATTATTGTATTTTTATATAATATTTTAATTACATGATTATTATACATCCAGATGGATTTTATAATAATTAAATGCCTGTCTGGAGACTGTTTTGGCTTATTCTTGTTTCTGTGCACATATTTAGGTCTCAAGAAGAACTTTCTGTCTCAAGCAAAGAAAGATATTTAAAAACAGAAAGAGTAAATAGTCATTGATGAAGTATTTTAGAAAGGAATTAGTAAGAGGGAGAAAATATCTCAGGTGATTTAATACAACATAGCAATATTTTTTCTTAGTGAAGGAATAATATGTCTGAGTGCTTTATTTACCACTGCCTCATATTTATATTCTAATTTTTACATTCTGTGAGCAAAGTAGGACTTCTTGCTTTTTATTCAACTTGTTACACCATAGTCTTTCTATCATTTATAAAGACTGCAAGATGTAATGATTAGTAAAACCAAATTGTCTATTTCTATGTTTTATTATAGTTGCTGAATATATACCAAAGGAGAGATCTGATGATAAGAACAGAAGTAGGAATCATAACCAAGAAGGTCATATGTCACTGTTTGGCCTGGTTCATCATATCAGTGCAATAGCAAGCCAGAATTTTGACACCGAGAAAGAGTCTGAGATACATTATTTATCAGTAAAAGAAAGCTGTGATTGGAAACCAAATAGGAATTCATCTAGAAGCTGATTTATGGAAAAATATGCTAACTTTAGCCCTACTGAGCTTCCTAGTACAGTAAGAAAGAGAAATTTTCTGAATGTGTTGGTGAAAGAGTAATCCTTACAAATACATTGTGAAATCAGGCAGGAGAAGAGTCACTAAAGAAAAGAAGGTCCTTCTTGGTTGTAGAATTTTTTAAGCGTTTCTGAGCTTCTGTTTTATTTTGCTCACTAGTAATTACGAATCATAGCATTTCTTGTGCTACTGTGGGCTACATAGAAACAAAGCCTAACTTCAGATTAGGCTGTGACTCAGAATTAAATTGTAAAGGAACTAACTCAATGTTTACCAAATTTATTTTAATTGAAATTAAATGAAGTTTAATTCTACGATTGAATTCTAAAACTTCAGTTCTAAGTGAATTATTATTTTTTTAATCTCTCTGTGCTTGCACATAATGTACTAGTTTTATATGTAAATTCTTTCCCATTGAAAACAAAATCAAAGCAAAAACAATCAAACAAAAACAAGTTGACCTTTACATCATGGGCACAAATTCAGATTTTACGTAACACGGTGCCACAAAAAGAATTTGTATAAATTTCTCTCACTTTATTCTCTACTTACTAACAGACTACAGACAGCAAAAACATTTGCATTATCTCCTCTGGCATTATGTAGCAGAACTTTCTTGGAGTTGCCACATTCTGCCATCCCAGATATATGTCTTATGCCAGAATGTATAAACTATCAAAGAACCTAATTCTGATTCAACGGGTAGGCACATTTATTTCATCTCATTAATAGATTAATAGATTAAACTGTTTAATTTTTAGAGAATATTTTATACTGAATTTGAATCTTGACAGCATGGATGATGCTTAGGTAAGTAGTTGAAAATAGGTATTTCAGGGTGAACATTTCAGAGTGTGTCCTTGGACAATAATATGCATGTGCTTTAATATTTATTCTTTCTATAAACACACATAATATTCAGGCACAGTTAAGAATTATGGAGACTTCTGAAAACTTTTGTGGAGATGGTTTTCTCTTTTGTAAAGTGAGTAAGATCAGTTGCATAGATAGCCTTTCACCTGTCTGCTGCTGAGAGAATGCAACCTTTCATTACTGTGCACCTCACACTGTCCATCTTAAAACACTCAATATTGCAACTCTGGGAGTCTGTATGACATGTTAAGAAGCTTGAAAAGGGCATGCCTTTTCAAGTCTCAGAGGTGTAGCAAATAAAGCATCGCTGCTGTTGTCACTTCTGCTCAGAATAAACATTTAGATCTAATTCCTAAGAAGAAAATATTCCACGGTTTAGACTTTTCTGTGTTTTCTGTTAAAACCATGAGTCACTGTATTTTATTTACCTGCAATGTGTGTTCAACACACACAAAAGTATATCAAGATTACTGCTTTTGTGTAAGAAGAAAGAATCCCACAGCATTTCTTTTTAATAACTGTTCAGCTACAAAATTTTATTGGTATCCTTCTATGTTCCCTCTAGAGGATGTAATGCACAAAAGCATTGCCACGGAACATATAAAATTACAAATGAAATTTATTGTAAAAAGTAGAATGTCTTCTAGACTGGTGTCAGTATTTATTTCATTCATAAACCAAAACTGCAGGTATAATATATTCATTGTCAGCAAGTTCATGTGTGTAAATTGCCATCCAACAGTATTGACTGATATAAGACAGATATTGAAAAGACAATTTAAATTTACTCTTCCAAACATAAACTGTTCCACAAAAGCACTGTAAAAACTCCTTCAAGGTTTTGTGTTGTGCTTCACATTTATGGTTAACTACATAATTTGGTTGTGTCATAATCCACTGTGTTTGGCAATTTGGCATTAAATGCCTGCAAAGCAGATTGAATTCTCACCACTTCACTGGTAGACAGTTTGAGTCTATGACGGAGCAAGCAAGAGAAGAGGTCTAGACGACGTTGACCAGGTGGAGAGAGTTTATTTACACGATCGCGTATCTCTAACAGCTGCAAAAGTGCGGAGTCCTGTGATCCCTGAGTATAGGGGTAGTCCAGCTGCAAAATCAAGTCTCGAATTGCTTCTGGGTCAAAGTGCATGCTGTAGCCAAACACTTGGATGTTATTGATTTTCATGTAGCCCAGATTTCTTGAGGGATCAATAAATTCCAGGGGTTCATAGTAGATGCTTTCATTGCCATTTGGACCGTTTGACTTTATTCGACTCCTCAAATAGATGTGTACTGTTTCAAAAAATGTCTTCCACTTGTTGCCCAGAGTCAGTGTCCAATTATAACACTGAAGGGGTAAGTCCAACTTAGTCCGCTCCCAGTCTGGGAAATTATTTTCATTCACAGGCATAAACCAGCTCTCAGAGTGGCTGCCCCCAAAAGGGTTGACATAAACAGCAAGAACAGGCTCTAAGGTGCTGTTTTTAGTTAGGCAGATTTGAAGAGAGAGGCCTAGTATCATATGGACCAGGCTAGACTTGTACTTGTTACTCTTAAGAGTAAGGAGCATCCGCTTGCGCCAAGAAGGATCAAACCAGTTGTTGAGGCGCATGTCATTGCTGATGAAAATTGCATGCACCTCAATTCTTCGATCTGTCTTCTGCAGTAAATACTTCATTTCCAGGTCCTGAAGGTCAGTCTCAAACCCAATGTAGTGCTCTGTTGATTCTGCCACTTCAGGCTTGCAAATCCCCTGGCTTAGCATGTATCCAGCATTACAGCTCCCACAGCGGGTACGATTGTCAGGAGCGCAGCTCAGACAAGCAGAGCCATCTCCAACTGTGCAGGGAAGGAACCCATGGCAGGCAACCTGGTCATTAGGGCAGGTGCATGTGTGGGTCTCTTCCGAAAAGCTTCCCAGAAGGCCATTTTCATTGCAGTAGAGAAAGGATTGGATGCGATTGAGCCAATAGTTGGAGGATCTGCAATTTTAAAATACTATATTTTAGCACAAAGAGAGACCTGAAAACAATAAATACAACCTTGCAATTTTTTTACCAGAAAGAGAAAGATGAAAGTGTTTTTAGTAACAGATTAAGGCAGTATGAACATAACTAAAGTCAAATGACAGCATCTGCTGTCAAATAAATACACATATAAATTGCCTTTTAGCAATGCAAAACCACAAAAAAGAACTTTCCTTATAAATTTGCACAATAGGAACATTTGGATCATGTATTTTCTCTGCGCCTCTGTCAAGAAAACCTGTCAGAGTCATTTTTTCTGTACCTGTCTTCAGATTAACATCTTGAAATGCTATACAGTTTAGATTTCTTTTCCTCAGACTATTCGCTCAGGAAGGTGTATGACTTTGTATCATCAAGCTGTTTTGTTATGAAGATTCTTGTAAGCCTGAAAGCCTTCTTGTTTCTAGTTGTAACTGCTTTGATTTATAGCTACTGAGGAATGGAGTGACCAAAATGCTTACCTGGAATAGCAAGTAGGGCCTCCCTAAAACAGATTCAGTCTTAATTCTTCAAATTAATTCTGACACAATAACAAAATCATAGAATCACATAAAGGCTTGGGTTAGAAGGAATCTTGAAGATCATGTAGTTCCTACCACTGCCATGGGCACGGTTCCCATATCCCTATGGGAAGCTGGTGATGACCATTCTGTGTTTACTTTTCCTCTTCTGAGATGAAATTAAATGATTGTTTTAATATTTTTCTTGTCAACTTATTTTAGTTTTACAAGAAACAATAGACAGTGTGAGAACATACTGAAACCAGTAATTTAGTCTGATGAGGTACAATTGCTAGCAGAAAAGCAATGTAAGAAACACAGTTACATGGACATAGACAAGTGTTATCTCCTTTCTCGTCTGTACTTTTCATTCTTTTTTAGCAATTCTCGTAGTGCAGAGCTTAAAGAAATTGTTTTTGCTGCAATCTGTTCTACTGTTGCCAACGTGAAAAAAAAAAAAAGAAAAAAAAAAAAAAAGTGAAAATAAAAACCAGTGCAATCATTTTAGACTCCGGTGACTCTGTTTTCTGGTTTTGGGCTTTGGAGATTCTTCCTTTTGGTTGTTTCTATGCTAGCCCCAACCCCTTTTATTTTTCTTTAGTACATATTGCCCATTAGTACTTTTTTGGAAGTATATAGAATAAGATATATGACTTGAATGCCTAAACAATTTGCTTCTATGTGCTTAGTTGAAAGTTAAAATGAAGAAAAAAAGCCTGAAAAGTTTACTCCTTTCCTGAATAAAACAGTGCATCCATTCTACAAACAAATGCAATGTCACAACACAAGTGTTACTCCAAAACTGAGTAGAATTTTAAACAAATAGATTTCCAAGGTAGAATCAAAGTTCCCAGGTACTGTGTCTGGCTCATTTTGACAGTAATCTATGCCCACCAAGTTTGCTCTGGTAGCTCATAGGAAGTGCAGTTTGGGTATGTTATGATCTCAATTCCTCTTATGTGTTGAACATGGCAGCCAGCCTACGTCTCCCATGGTCTGTCATATTACTGTTAGGCCTAAAATGATGACAGCAGTCAAAACAGAGAAGACTGCTGTCTGAAGGATTGAAAATATCCTTCCAAAGGTTTCCTCTTATAGCTTTATCCTAACTCAGAATCACAGAATGGCAGAGGTTAGAAGAGATCACTGGAGACATCTGATCAAACACTCTTGCTCAAATATGGACACCCAACACCTTATAGGTCCAAGTACCTATGTAGTAACTGATACTTACTCAGATTCCAAAAGATGTTAGATGAATATAGAAAAATGCTTTTTTGAAGAAAACAAAACAAAACAAAACAAAAAAAATCCTTTAGATCTTTGTGTTATGCCAGTTACTTCACAGTACACTTCTTTAAGATTTTACCTTATTTTCATTTGTTCTCTTGGACAGATAACTGGACAGATCACAGAATCACAGAATGGCCAGGGTTGGAAGGGACATCAAGGATCATGAAGCTCCAACCCCCCTGCCACATGCAGGGCCATCAACCTCCTCATTTAATGCTAGATCAGGCTACCCAGGGCCCCATCCAATCTGGCCTTGAAGACCTCCAGGGATGGACAGGGCATCCACAACCTCACCACTCTCTCTGTAAAGAATTTCCCCCTGACATCCAACCTAAATCTTCCCTCCCTCAACTTAAA